AGGTTTTACTGTATTATCTACATAGTTAACAGTTAAATTATTTACTCATTTAAAAAGTTCAAATATACCAATTCTTTTTTTCATTATGAACTTATTCATAATATTACTAGAATAAATTCATCTAGAAGTAGTTAGATATGCTGCCATTTCATATTAATTTTAATAGTTATAATAAATTAATATTAATTTAGAATTTTCTGAAAAAAAAGAAGTGGCCCAAATAGGACTCAAACCCACAACTGCTGCTTGTCGTGCAGATGTGATGCCAGTTACACTACCCAGATCTCTGTCTGATCTTAATTAGTTTCTAATCATTAACTTATCCCAATAATTTGGCAAATTACTTGGTTTAACTAATAAGTCAAGTTTAGAGATGATGTTGATAGTATAAATTGCTCAAACCTCTATAAATCTAATCCATTCATTCTGTTCTTAACTTGATAAAATTAGTTTATCTTATTCTATATCTGATACCGAGAAAGGATCATTAAAATCATTTTATTGTCTATGTAAGTCTAATTTAAATAAATTTTTATTTCAAACTACTATAATAAATTTTACAAATCCCAAATATCAAATTGACCCTAAATCTATTGATTTCCATAAAACAATACATAGCCAACATTTAATGAACCATTCAATATACAAGGTGGCCAGGTGATTTAATCAATGCACAGTGGGTATAATTTAAAGAACACTAATGTTTTCAACCAGATTAGTGGACCATCTTCAGACAGTTGAAAGTGAAATTTTATGGCAGTTCAGAAGTCAGTTAACTGATACATTTTAAAAATGGTGAAAACTACTGTACCAGTAGTTTGGAATAGCTACATGCTATTACTTGTTATTCAAACTTGTTACTAAAAGTCCCAAAGCCCGATGTATAGATAAATAATCAAACGATAGCCTTAAATAATTGGGCTATAAATCTGTACATATCATATTTATAGATCAATTATTTAAGATGATCGTTTAGTTATACAAACTCATTACTTGTGAAAATGACTAAATCACAAGTAATAAAATGGAGATATTCCAAACCAGTTTTAATAGTTAATTGATATTTTGAGCTACTCTGTATCTTATTTATTACAGCTAATGAAACAAATTAATTCAACTTAACCTTAACCTTTAATCTTAAATGACACTATGGCCATTAGCCTTTCCAAGTGTCAAGCTAAATATATATTATAAAATTTAATCAATTATTAAGTTAAACTTATAAGCTTCAATATTGAGTTTAAAGACTTTATTGACCATATTTTTATTAATGATTTGCCCTATTACATATTTAACAATAACTAACTCAGAGAGAAATACGTATATCATGAGTATATAGTATTAATATGTTATATCTAGACTGTTTTTATACACATTAATTAATATTAATAATTTATTTCACATCTTGATAAAGTATAAAAAAGTTCAATACGTTAATTATAAATTTCTTTTCAAGGTTTAAGCAAAAAGTTCAGCTTTCTAAGGACAACTATCCTACTCTTGGTCTTGATGGTTTATCAGATAAACTATTTTGAATGGGTATAATTCATTTCTAAGCATTATCATACCTGTCTGCTCTAATTTAAACACAATCTATGAATAAGCTGTATTACCTTTGATTACACGACAGATATGATTTGCTGCAAATGCCCATTAATATGCACAAAAACGAATTGTCCTCTATTTGCTATATAATTGCATACCTGTTCTTAACATGCCGTACACGTGCATTCTAGCAGTATGTCACCTGCCGACATTATAATGAAAATTCGTGTGAATATTAGAAGATATGCCAGCCTGTAATATTTATGATCCACCTCCATATCAATTTTGTATCAAAACATCTTTTTGATCTAATTTGCACTATAGGATACTGACCGTGCATCATCATTAAGCATATTCACGATTCATTCATAAGAAATAGTGTCCAATTTTATAAAATTTATTACTTATCTGTATTGTCCGCATCTCTATGGTTGATGCACTTGAATTTTTCCATTTATCTGCCTAATGCATGGTGGTCCATTTATGAAATTTAATTATTTTGTCATTTTATTAACAGATAATTATTCATTTATTTTTTATTTTATTCATTTTGCATGTACTTGTTACTTATATTATTTTAACATAATAGAGAGGTTGAAGCACACGTTTTAAACGTGTAAACGTGTACGTGTGACGTTCGGCACCGCTTTCCCGTAAGCCTAAAAGTTTGATGATGGTGTTTGGAATGTCGAGCGTGATTCCACCGACTATCCAAACATCATTGTCAAACTTTTAGGCTTACGGGAAAGCGGCACCGAACGTCACACGTACACGTTTACACGTTTAAAACGTGTGCCTCAACCTCTCTAATGTCCTTGAATTCAAATTCTTATTCTTTTAAATTTGTATTTACATTCTTTTATTTTTCTGTTCCATCATAAATGTAACCGAGAAAGATAGGTGAAACTGATTAAAAACGTTCTTATTTTTATTAAAATAGCTGCTGGATTTATAAAAGCATAAATTTTTATGAATTATTTCCTCTGGTTATTTTCAAATTTCATGGAAATAAAATTAAGAAAACAAAATGTTTCTGAATAAAAAACAATTTGGTTTCCTGAACTAAGCAGTGAAATTATCATCATCATCCAGTGATCATCATCTGAATAATAATACTGTATAGTGTATACGGAATTATGTCCTATTTGTAATTTTTCGAATGAACAAATTTTATTTCCTTGCATCTGGCAGCACTGCCTTGCAATTGTTGCAAACATTCACACTGATTCTGGCATTTGGGTTATGACCTTCGCTATTCACAAAAACATCATATGGACTATTCTATTTTGTAGACATACCATACTCTCTACTAGTAAATAATTACAGTTTGTCCATTTTTTTTATAATAGTTTTAATTTATATAAATTTAAATTATTATTATTATTATTATTATTTTTTTTTTTGTATCTGCCCTATAAGACAACCACAGATTTTGGGGGTCTTTTTGTATGTTCAACTATCGTCTTATCTGCGGAAATATATGATAATTTGATTGTCATTATTATGAAAAAAGACTGCAAAATTGCAATTTAGAATTCAATTGACGGTGATTTGTTTACATTTAATGTAAACAAACCACGTAATCATTAGTTGCCAAGCAACAATAAAATATAGTCAGCAAGCACATTGGATAATCCTTTAATACAAACACCATTCTACTACAACTCACATACTATTGTTAATTTTTGTAATTCTAACATAAGTTAAATTCAAGTATTTTTATTGATTTTAACATCATCACTTTCAAAAATACATTTGAAATTTCATATATTCAATGAAACTTCCAATCTGCTTTTAACTTTAAGATCACAGAGCTGTTATAAATTGAGTTCTAAACTACAGTGGACCAAAACTCAGTTACCCGAAGCCATTTTATAAATAGCCGAGACTAATTCAGAGCAGTTAAGTGTTAATATTCATGAATTAACTGCTTCTAATGAAGTAGATCACAAACATTAACATGATGATTTCCCAAAAATTATGGTACTCTTCATCTTAAAATACATCTTGGTTAACTGGCTTTTGGGCCACCCTTATAAAATATATCTTTTAATGTTAAATTTGTGATTCAAATAAACTCAAAACATTGTTAGCTCATGTTCAATATCTTATATTTTAAACAAGTCAAATTTTAAAGAATTTTTTTTAATATAGGAATAAACAAATTAGGTTATCAAAATGATAATATTTCACATTAAATCATACATGTTATTCACCTACATTTCTTTATAGATAAGATCAGAATTTAAAATAAAGTACAGATAAATTTTGTTAAGAAATACGACACGATTTAAGGTCATTACAGAATCTTGGCAAGTGAATAGTCCTGTTCTCCTGTTTTATGTTATTAAAATTTTTTCTTATATATTCAGAATTTACATTATTGTGTATAATAAAGACATTAAAATTTAAAAAATAAATCAAAAGAAGAAGATTTTGCTTGAAACAATATGAAGAAACCAGTTTCAATTCTCATTTATTACATTGAGAAATATGAAAGATCATATCTTTTTATCATATTTTTCAACCAATTCAAAATGTTACATTGAATACATAAAAATCACGAAGTATTCTCATGTATCCCAAGACAGATTAGAATTTTCTTAACTGGGAACTCAATCAAATTTAAATATACAATATTGTAACTTACTAGAGTCGATTTGTATTCAATACCTCTTTAGTTCCGTGTATGTCGGTACTCATAACAAACTAGTTTATCATAAATATAGATAACAGTTATAACAAACACACAAATTATATCAAATCTTAATATCTGAATAATATAACAATTTATTATGTTAACAAAAAAAATTGTAGTTTTATTTCATCTGATTATTAAAGAAAAGACAACAAAAAATTACTTATCATAAGTTCTGTTCTTCAATAACAAAGAAAAAAAAAACAAAGCATTAAAAAGCAACTTGTCTCAGAATCACTGGGAAGGATAATAAACACATGAGAACCTTATTATATCCCAGTAACGACAAAAATTAAATAAAACTAACATTTTCAACCATATTCATGGTCTTCCTCAGGCTTTTGACCAGTACAATTCGAATATGGAATGCATCAAACAATATGTTTAAATTATATTAAAATTCCAAAAAATTTAAAACAATTTTTGTAAGTTTAAGATAATTTAAACATATTGTTTGATGCATTCCATATTCGAATTGTACTGGTCAAAAGCCTGAGGAAGACCATGAATATGGTTGAAAATGTTAGTTTTATTTAATTTTTGTCGTTACTGGGATATAATAAGGTTCTCATGTGTTTATTATCCTTCCCAGTGATTCTGAGACAAGTTGCTTTTTAATGCTTTGTTTTTTTTTTCTTTGTTATTGAAGAACAGAACTTATGATAAGTAATTTTTTGTTGTCTTTTCTTTAATAATCAGATGAAATAAAACTACAATTTTTTTTGTTAACATAATAAATTGTTATATTATTCAGATATTAAGATTTGATATAATTTGTGTGTTTGTTATAACTGTTATCTATATTTANCGACAGGACTGACTCATGATTATTGATATTAAATACTCTTTTGACTAAACCTAGTCTTTGGATTGTAGGTAGCCCTATAATGGTCTGACTATCAGTATTAGTAATTACAAAATGAATACTAGCTGACAAATTATCATTGATTACACCATTGACTAACACCACTCCCAAAACTGGTATATCATTTCCTGAGAATGACGTAAGCCTTACAGCCGTAGGTTGTATTTTTCTAGCAATTTTTAAACTTTTATAATTTCTTATTGACATTACATTAGCCTGAGCACCCGTATCCAAATTACATTCTAACACTTTGTTATTAATCTTAAGTTTTAGGATCCACGGCTCACTTAACCAATTGTTATTACTATTAATAGATCTAATGACAAAGAGATCCGACTTATTACTATCATGGTCGTGATCATCACTAACATTAACATATTTTACTTGTCTAGTACGACAACATTTCACATAATGACCTACTTTGTTACAAAGCTTGCAGACAGCATTAATAGCCGGACATTTATTTCGGTGTACTTTTCCACAACGCGTACATAATAATTGATTGTCCTGACCTGTTTGACGAAACCTTGAGAACTTTGATGATAACGACTCTCGATGACCACTTAAGACTGTCCTTTTTCCGCTACTTGTTGCTTTATTTTGTAGATTTCCACGACGAGTGCCATTGTAATTGAACTTTTCGACTTTAAGTATCTGTGCATCACTGTTCTTTTCAATCTGCTCCGCCTGACGATGAGTAATTTCGATGCTTTTGGTTATGCTGATGGCCTTCCGTTAAGATTAAGCCTTCTTCCTGAAGTAGCCTAGCTCTGATGACTTTATTATTTGACGACAAACCTACAATAAACATGTCTCGGACCAAACTCTCTCGGAGATTATCGAACTCGCACGTTAGGCTTAGGTTCTTTAAGAGAAAAACCAGACGAAGTCAATCGAAGACTTCGTCTTCGATTGACTTCGTCTGGTTTTTCTCCAGTCCAGACTTCGTCTCCAGTCCAGTCCAACCTTCGTCTGGTTTTTCTCCTTCGTCCAGACGAGTCAATCGAAGACGAAGTCTTCGATTGACTCGTCTGGTTTTTGTCTTCTGGTTTTTGTCTTCTAATCAAAAAATTATATCTCTCAATCGTGAGATTAGTTTTAGGTTTGCAATGAGACTCAAATTTTTTTACTACATCCAAATATTGACAATTGTCCATATCCAAGTTAAAGGAATTGAAAACCTGTAACGCGTCTTCTCCCACAAAATGTAAAAATATGGCGACTTTACGGGAATCAGTTTCATTTTCTAAATTACTAGCGCGCAAAAATATTTTAAATTTCTGATACCAGATTGACCAAATAATAATTTAAGTTTTGTCAGTCTTGTGCCATTATACAACATATAATATAACATGGTGTCAGAATTATAGTCGTCGTCGTCGTCGTCATTTTCCTACTAGCAGCAGCTCGAAATAATGAGTTCACCGGTCAGTAACGCAGGTCAGCCATCTTTAACTTTATCCCACTTCTGACACCATGTTATATTATATGTTGTATAATGCACAAGACTGACAAAACTTAAATTATTATTTATTACTACTAAAGAGGAGACACTCGTTATGGACTGTATGACAGACGACAGACGACTTTCGTTTTTTTTGTTGGCCGCTATGTGTCGCCACCAGTACATATCGTAACAACTACAACTGAATTTTCACATATATGTTGACAATATTTTATTAAGGATGTCCACTGATGTCTACACTGGAAGGGAGGGATTTCAGACAGGTCAGACAAGAAGGGCAGGGTTACTGAAACTTGGACAAACTGGGATGAGAGAGAGAAAGAGGAAGTAAAACTTTCAAGAAAAATGCAGACATAATTTATGGCCCCTTATATGAAAATATTTGAACAAATTAATGACAGTATTTTTATATTTATTGTCTTATATAGTCAAAAATGATAAAAGCAGTTTATCATTTTATCACCGGTACCCTTAGGGGATTCAAAAGCAATAAATACTCACTCGATACGAAAAATTATGCAACTAATAATGGAAACACTGTCTTCTGACATCATGTTTAATTTCATAAAACTTTTTTTTTTTTATAAAATTATTAAAGTGCACTAGTACTTTTGGCACTGTATCAATGTCATCTTAATGAGAATAAGCTTGTATATGGAAGTTAAAAATTACACCTTTGTCAATCCAGCAAAAATTTAATATAATGAAAACGTTTTCAATTGTTTTAAATGATCTTCATCAGTTATAGAAAAACAGAACATTTAAATAGAACAGAAAATGATTATGGAATAAATATAAAAATAAATGAAAGATGTCCTTGTGGATTAAATATGGATAAATAAAATATCATAAATAAGGAAAAAGTACAATATATAATATCACCTTAGTATTATTAATTATTGTAAAATCATCTCCAAGTGGTAGATAATGCATCCACATCTCTGTGGTTTATACAATTAGTTCTCAAGTACACCTCGTGTATTTCCAATTTCTCAAGCTGTTTCATTGTGTGTCTATTTGTCGTTGTTTTGATAATAGCTGCCTGATCCCATCAGACATTGACATCCTGTTGTCTTGCATATGTTGCTAGTGCTGTGCTGTCAAGATTCTTATTGATTGATATCTGTGTTCCTTGAGCCTTTGTTTTAAATTGCACATAGTTGCACCCACATAAACAAGTTTGGAATCAAACCTCTGGTGTGTGTGTGTATATATATAGTATCAGTATTAAATCATAAAATACTCATTTTCTCAGGAATATAATTAACAATTAGTTTACAGTTTAAAAAACTTTTTCCTCAAAATCCAATAAGAATTTTCATAGACTAATACTTATAAATACAAAATTAAGTTTAGAACCACGAAACAATTTGTTATTTAAATCCTCTATATAATTTATATACTAGAAAACCTAGAAATATCAAAACAGGAAAACAAGTATATTCATAAATTTCCTCAAAAGAAAAAGGAAAAAGGATAAATGCATCTTTAACTTAAATATCATAATTATGCATTATAAATTTTAATGAAGTGTTATGTAGTTTAAGTATGTGACTAGAATATTTTTTTGCTGGCAAATTGATTAAATCTGCATCAAAATCGTTACTAATTTATTCAAATTTTCCCAACCAAAGTGGGAATTTCTCATCCAATTATTTCTGTGAATGAGATGACATTACATAAAGTAGCACACCATTTACTTATTTATCTGGTCAGGTCATAAACAGGGAAGGCTGTATATCCTCTGCATGATTTTATAGAATGCTTTAAGGAACTTACCTTAAAACAATATTATATCATCATATTAATTTAACTTTTCTTATAATGAAAGAATTAGAAAAATCTGTTTACTGAAAGCTCATTTTCCTTGTAAGATGCACACCAGATATGAACTAATGCTCTAAATCAGCAGCACCCAAACTATGGCCTCTGGCCCAAATCCAACCAGCAAGCAGATATGACACGTCTCTTATAAATGACAAAAATATTTTATATATACTATAAGTAATGCGTAAATAAAATATGCGTAAATAAAATATTTCTGGCCTACCTACCTATCTACAACATGAGCACAATTTGGCCCACCAATCAAAAGCTTGGGCACCACTGCTCTTAAATTATTTGGTTACACTTAATTAATTTTTTTATCCCAATTTTTATTTTCTGTTTCTCTGTACTTTTACTTAATACTTATACTCAGAAAGTAAAAATAATGACTTTCTTCTGCAGCATTTATTTCAACTTTCTACCTTTAAGTTAATATATATTCATATTTTAAATTGATTATGTTTTGAGAATGTTCTTAGAATCTTTGTCATAGACCTGCTATTAATTATTTTCATGTAAGCAGTGTTCTTTCTCTCAGAAATTACTGCTGGTATGCTGTATGGTGACTCAATGTATAGAATTATTTTTACCGAGCAACTGTCAATACTTTGTACTGGTAATCGATACCTTTTATACTATCTGCCGATATGACACACAAGCACGTTTTGGCTGAAAAAAACAGCCCTGCATGTAAGATAAAATGATTTATTTTCATTGGGAAAAATAACTGAGTATAATTAAGAAATAAACAATATAATTATTATTAATTTATATAAATTTAAATAAACTAGAAAAAAAGGCTTCACATCCTTTCAATATTATATTTTTCTATCAATATAGCTACCATTTCGGCTATTAATGAGGAATTAATAGCAAAACTGAAAGCTATATTGATGGAAGAGAAAAATATAAACTAGCACATTCATAACCTGTTAGTATCAGTACATGTGTGTATATATATGAGTTTATTTATTTTATGCAATAACGCATTCAAATTTAATAAGTGTGAGTGAGAGTCCACATGTGCACTCACTCTCATACACCCATGCATATGTGCATGTGTAATCTCTATACTTTAAAGCTATAATAATATTTAATATATAAGACTTCTATATTTCTTTTTTTTTTTTTTTTTACCTTATTTTACATTTCTGAAATATCTTATTATGGATGCATTCACTGATTTGATTTTTCTATGATGATTTTTAAATGTCGTTAATAATTGAAATTATAATTATTTTTCTTCGGCAATATTTTGCATGATCATCTAACTTAAAATTCAATATTTGTGTAGACATTATAATATTTTTATTGCAGCAATAAAAATATTCCAAAGTAGCAATTATAATTTCTATTGAATAGTTTGCAATAAAGACAACCTAATTTCCAATATAGAAAATTATATTATTATGCAATTATATTTTACAAGGCTGTAAAATAGGAAATTTGAATAAGATATCTGAAGGTCGAATTGGTTTTGTAATATGAGATGTAAGCCCAGAAGGGCCATTTGCCAGATTTTAATTTTGTACACACTTTAATGTCAGTCAGCATGAATGAGGAGTGATAACAATTTGTCATGTCAAACTACTCATGAAAAATTGTAAGGATGTAGATACATAGATCGGAGTCAAAGCTGAACATATTTTGATAACAGAAGGAGAGTATATAGCTCAATTATACAGGAAGGTCCATAAATTATTCACTGAATTAAGAAATTCAATAAAAAAAAATTAGAAAGATATTGAGAAAATGTTTACAGCAATTTATCCCATACCACAAAGAATTTTTCTTTCTATGTGTAGCACCATTGAAAAATCACTTTCATCTAACATTAAAGCAAAAATGGATGACAGATCAAAGTGAACTCATTTTGTGACCACACACTACTGATATCATGCCTCTGGATTGCTTTTTCTGGGGTTACCTAAAGATCAGAGTGTATGCAACAAAAGTAAATAACCTGACGAAGTTGCAAGACTGGATTATCCCTAAGAAATTGCTATTGTAACTCTGCAAATGCTTATGAATATATGAAGAGAAATTGAGTACAGGCTGGATGTTATCCAAGCAATTAATGTTCTTATGTGGAAGTTATTGAACAATTGTTCTAAACCATTTGCAAAAAAAAAAAAAAAAAAAAATGTTGGAGGGTCAAATTTGACGCGATTCCAATACTTTTCCGTTTTACATACATAACAAGTTGGGAAATAAAAAGGAGTCAGAGTCGGCAGATTTTTTGACGACTCCAACTAAAACACCAAAACTCCACGATTCTGACTCCACAGCCCTGATTGATGCATCCCACCAAATTTAAACCAGCATTAAAAATGCTTACAATGACATTCTATGAGCATTCCAATTTGAAGACTCTGACCCTAAGATCCACCGAACAGATTGAAAATGTTAGTCCTTCCATTCATGATTAAGTATTTACTGGAGTTACTTATAGTTCTTTGATATATTTTGTTCTACGTGTATTACAACATTACTTAATTTACAATATATTGGATATTTTTAGATGCTGTATACATTAATCTTTCTTTAACGTTTATTTAAAATTATTTACATTCATTTTGACAAATATTTTGTATACATGTAAATAAATTTTCCTTTATTAATGATTAAAGAATTCATCTCACAGCATTTGTTTAGCCATTAATAAAACAGTACTCTTGTTCTAAGAATATAGAAACAACTACAAGCTGTTTGTGATTCTAAGAATGTATATTCCATTTATTATTGACGATAAATAGAACAAACGAAGCTACATGTGCAACAAATACAAATTGACCGATAGAAACTACTTTAAATATATTTATTTAAATTAATAAGTAAAAAAAAAAAACTGATGCAAGATTTTCT